AAAGCAAAGCAAAGCAAAGCAAAGCAAAGCAAAGCAAAGCAATGCGATTAAGACCCCGGCCACACGTATACATTTTTATTCGTTAACGCATACTTTTGTAAACGATTCCTGTCCGTCTACAGGTCCACACAAATGAAAACGTGTATGTGTGAATAGGGTCTAAACCAAACTTTAACGAGAAAACAAAAGAGCAAAAACGAAGAAAAGAAGCGTAAAAGCGAAAAAGTAAGTAGAGGACAAAAAAAAGGGCGCTCATGTTATCTGTATTTTTCTTACACTCATCAACATTCTTGTTAAAAATATAATATCTCGCATTCAGCTCCGTTTTCTTCAACCAGAATGAACGCCAATGTGATTTATATTGGACTTTAGCTGATCCGTATGATACAAAACTGAACCATCGTCTGCTGCCACAAAAACGTTTGACCAAATCATCTCTGCCATTGATTAGCGTAATGGAGGAATAACTATAGATTTAACGATAGTATAACTTTTAGTAATGTAGTGGGTTTTTTTTAAAAAAGCGACACTACTTCTGAGTATAGTCAGAGAATGAAGGCGCCTGGTTAGGGTTCAATAGCTCTGGCATTTCAAAAGTTTCCTTGTCGTGAGAATAACAGTGCACATCAATAGTGTCCGCATACTACTTTGATAATGTAATGACAACATTTATCGTCAATTAGAGGACAGACACATAAAAAATTGATGTCAATTTGTCTTTTACGATAACAAAAACGATAAAAACTTCTCATTTTCACTGATCAAAACAACTAACGGAAAGAGCGCGCGCTCGTTGACGTTAGCTTTATCTGTCTGTCCTCTTACTGATGATAAAAAATAACCAATGAGCACGCAAGAAAGTTTGTAAGTTATTGTAAAAATAGCGATTCCAGCGAGTGACGCTAGTTTCTCGGCATCATGTGAGCAGCGAAGTTGTTAGGTCTTTTGTTTGATTCGAGTTTTGGGTTTTCCAGTTTTTCTCCCTCCACAAAACCCAACAGGCTCAATTTCTTTATTTTCATGTAAGTCAATATTTATACAGGAACACCAAGTTTAGCAAGGCTAGTTTAAATGGAATCCTGATATAACGTAAACTGTAAATTTATATAAACATAAATATAATTCCAATTCGATCTGTATGTTAACTACTTAGCTGTGTCTTGACTTATAACTAAGTCAGCCCGGAGGATTTTCTGGGTTCCAATAAAGGTTTGGTTTTCGTTTGGTAACTTTGGCTATTACACTAAGTGATGCTGCAGTTGTTATAGAAAAGATTGACTGCATAATACGTACCTACACAATGCCGATGTAGGCATGTCTATCTGATCGAATACCACCAGTATTAACGCAGTTTTTGATAGTGGTTTAAATACCCATAGACAATCAACATCCCACCAGCGTGGAAATCTGCTAGTTGAATATGTTATTGTCCCTTCTAGTTCATTGGCTATCGTCTTGCCACATTCTAGAATGAGAATGGAAAGAAAGGAATAAGAAAATTAACACATTTAAAAGCAAGTTTGTCATAGGATGAAAAAGTCATTTTGTTTCGGCCAATCACAGCTTGTTCAGCTGTTTTGCCACCGGCCCTCATTCCCAGGCTACTGTAACCCAATTTTTGCGTACTTTTCTGTTCTCTTTTGACTGAGATATAATAAACGTGTGTACGAGAAGCTGAAATATGAAAATAAAAACAAGTTTTTTACTGCGCGCATGCCATCTTTGCTTCGTTCTTTCAAGCTCCAAAAATGCTCGGTCATTTTGGTCATAATTTGCGCCCCGCGTTCACCGCTTAGCTGGAGATCTTGAATGTCCGAACTTTGCCTTATGCTGCAATTTTTTATTCATTCAGGCCACAGAACTAAAAGAACTCACCTAGGTTTTGCGCAATATAGCATAGTAAAATATCAATACCAACGGTACAGTAAAGAAAATCCGTATTGAAGGATCGAAACGTGTGTAAGATTAGTAAGACAAAACGAATGCCTTCAACTATTAGTATAGGAAATCGCACGATCTCGAGTACAATTTAAAATTTTATTCATATGTTTTTAAAGTGCAAAATGATAGAAAATAATTGTTTTGACATTGTTTTGGCCGTGTTGCCATAGCGACTTAATTCGGTACTCCTACGGAGTACAATTAACGCTATAATTGTACTCCYCTCGACCAATCAGAGTCGAGTAATTTTGTTGAGTGTACTATAATATCTTTAATAAGAACGCTTTTGTCACCTACTTGTAGTGAAGTATGCAAACGATGATCGACCCGATCCCTTGGCAGTGAACCCAGACACTTGCAGGTAATATTTCATTGCAGGAAGGAGATTTTCTATCGCTACTCGGGTGTCGTTGGTGGTAATTGTTTTGATGGTACCACGCGCATAATCCTGGTAAAGCACTTTGTATCCAAGAAGAACGCCGTGTGCGTGGTGTGGCAATAATGGATCCCATTTGACGAGAACTTCACGAAGACCTTCAAGTGTTACTGTTAAATTTCTAGGCGGGTAAACTGGAACTACAGCAAAATATGTTAAAACGTATATTAAGAAGCTATCACGAAAAGCAACTGTACTTATCTACAGAATGGTGTGACCAGTACGTGAGAGAGTTCCACTTACACAAGTCGCGTCAAGGCGACATAATGAAATAAGGGATTAGTGTCACAGAGAACTCCCCACACTCGGGCGAGTTACCTATTCGCCTTTAGCGCGCATGTAAAGCAATAGGAGATATTAGAGATACTCTCTATTGCCTTCAAACACTTGCTGCATTTGGGTCGGTTTCTATACATTTATCGACTTGACCCAAATGCCTCGACTGATTTGAAACAATAGTTTGAAGGCAATAGAGAACTCTAATATCTGTTATCCAACTTACCTCCTTCACTGGTTTTCACATTCACCGTTTCGGCACTTCTGTAAACCATCATCTGACTCCTGTCACTAACTTTAACAAGAGACACAAACACCTGTACTTGGTAATACGTGTGCCCTATGAGCTGGTTACATGAAGCAGACGTTGAGGTGTTAGTGGCAACAGCATAAGACACATTCAACTTGATATGCTGATGTTCTGTTGTATTACACGACATCAAATACCCTACAACTAGGAACCCTTGAGCAGAGAATGGCGACCAAGAGGCTGTAATGGAATAGGGATTCTTGCTCTTTGCTGTCATGTTCCAGTTACTGGCAAGTGGAACTACGAATGAGAAAGGTGTGAAAATGAAATGTGAAAATTGCTTTGTCAGTAACAGTACAGGGACTACTATAGTTGAGTAACGTGCATTAGAGAATTTTGATATGATGATAACAAAGCTGAAAAAAATCAAACGTCTCTTAAAGCTACTTGCAGAAAATCAACCACAAAATCAACCGCATTATGTTTCAGTGTGTTTTCTATCACCGGTTTGGAATTCTCTTACCTTTTGTCAAGTCCTTGTTGACCACAATATAAAACATACGAAACCCTCTCGAACGTATGGCACTTGTGTACGACGAAAAGTAGGAAACTTGTAAAGGGATTTCCTTGGAAAGAAAACTGATCGCAGGGTGCCTTTGGTTTTGGATGAACAAAAGCTGCTGTCCTTTGGTATCCCTTACTGTGATGTTACTTACCCTATCAATTACATTTCCAAAAAAAAAGGTTAGATTAGAAACACATACTAACAGCAATGTTTATTATATCATTTAAGAAAGCCTGGTAAAGGTAATTCTCAGTAATCCAGTTTCGAATTCTTCGTGGGTTACGCTGGGTTACATCAGGAAATTGTTCCATAAGTAGTACCTTGTCGTAACGTATTTTTCCTTCTATTGTTCGCAATGGAATATGGGAAGGCGATTAATGCGCGCGAAGTCTTTTGGAAAGGAAGGAGAAAAAGTGGCTCGCTTTTGTTTTCCTTCCTGCCTTCCCTTAATACACTGCGAACTCAAGTATGGAAATGCAAAAGGCACAAGTCTGGCTCCGTGTAATTTAAAAGTGTGTTTGAGCCCATTTAGTATTGAGAATATTTTGACACAAAAATGAAGCTAATTCTGAGTACTGAAATAAGTCTGTGATCAAAGAACACAGCGAATTTTCAAGAATTCGAAAAGGTCGATCTATTTACTAAAGGCTTTCAATAAATACCCTCCAGTCAAGCGGAACAAATTGATGTCTTCAAAGAACATGGCAAGTTGAGCTTCACGAACAAAAGGCCTGAAGGTCCACTTGAAGTGAGCCTGTTGCATGTATTTCGGGTACCCAGGACTTGTGATCACTCCTGACAGATCGGTGACAATGAGTTTTTTCACTGGAAATACAAAAGTTGCATCGTTTAGAAATGATTGTTAATTTGTAATGGAAATTTGAGAATATATATACTTCTTTATAGATGAGGCGGTAAGCCGTGAGGGATGGGCTCGGAAATCGTATAAGAACATGCGTAATAGGTTAATTACGAGCCACGTTATGGCAGCCAAGAAAGGAGGCAGCAAGACTATTGTCTTGCCTCCTATCATGACTGCCATCCTGTGATGGTGCAAAGCCTCTATAATGAGAACATAGGTAGTGCTGCAAAACCCATGTGGAAATTGAAGGATATATGACAAAAAATAAATTACTTTACACGAGCAATAGTCCCGCTCACAGTCCCCGTACCATCTTGAGAGGTAACCGTGCCTTTGCATCGAAGTGAGACGAGCGGCGAGCTTGCAATGAAAGAGATCTTTTTTCAGCGCCTTGAACAATTATTCACATGTCCGTATCATTGCAAGTTGTGCCAGTTGCATCCCAAGAGTAGTGAAGCAACAACGCATCATCGAGGCTGCTGATAAGTTAGGCATACCATACCTTGTGGATATCCACATACTACGCTTGCTTGGAAGTATGACGATTGACAATGCCTTGGTGTGTTCCCCCATCCTGCATGTGGACAATCTGAAAGACTACTTTCATTTCCATTACACTGTAGTCTTGTCAACCACGACTTTAGATGCTTGATGCCAAACAAGAATCTATTCCTTAAAACATAGGTTGCTGGTGGCAAACCCATTGAGCGACAAGCAACATTGGCATCTTTTATGTCCCAGTCTGATGTACAGATGGCACCCCATGTTCCATTATAGAACACTTCTACAGTTCCCTCGTTTGGTAGCTTTCCTTCATCAAGTCGCCAAGGCGCTGTGATTGGATAGAAGAAAATAATTAATAATTAATAGCCATTATGAATTATTAGCATAATTATTAGCATATTAGCCAAAATGTCATGACTACACCCTGACAAGCCTGGCGATCTTAAGTTGAAAGTTGTGAGAGGTCATCTCACCACCATATTACAACAAGCCGTTTGACGCATGCGCAGTAAACTAGGAGAAACATTTACCATACCTTGCGCTTTGGTTTTCACCACGACTTCTCGACTTGCTCTAATACTTTCATTTGCCTTGTTAGAGTTGAAAGAGTGACTAAGAAAGGCTAGCACTTGGACGATATAGTAGGAATCTGGCATCATGTTTTCCACCGTAACTGAAGTACCTTTAGCATCTGTTATAACCGATGATATGTTCTTGGGATCCATTTTGGATGTGCAAAGAGCAATGTACTGAGCAACATTCAATTTTGGATCACTTGCTACGAATCTAGGCCACTGGATAGTAATGGTGGTAGAATGGTTGCTCTGAACTCGGGTGTTCCATGTTTGGTCAACAAGAGCTAAAGATGACAAAAGAAATATAGGAGTAATACTATTGATTATCTGCAGGTACGATAGCTTTATTATAATTAGCTTAGAATGGTTTAAGCTGACAACGACTTCGTATCTGGAAATGTAGATTGACGGCACTTAACCACTTAACCAATGTCAGTCAACTTTTAATTGTCAAATAGACACAAAAGAAAGCAATGGAATTAGTTTGTTTCTATCTTTTTATTTTCATTTTAGGACACAAAAACGTGTATACATGGCGGAACAACCCAATTTGGAATGCAGCTCAATCTGGGGGTCAAAACAATAGGTTCCAATTCTCAGGAGATTAGAATTCTTTTGTTTTGTCCCAAGATCGAGCTGCTTAGACTGACGTAACATGCAAGGGGTCTATAGGACATGCACGAAGTCCTCTACTAGGTTAACCATCCACCAATAATTTAGGCCTACCAATGTAGTCTAATGTCTATTTCACGCGGGTGTTGTTTATAACAACTTTATTTGCAAAACAAAGTGATAAAAGACAAAAGAAAAAGAAAAAAAAAAAAGAAAGGGAAAAAGAAAAAAAAAAAGAAAAAAAAAAGAAAAAAACGCAAAAAGGTTGTTCCGCATGGAGGAACTAAATTTCCACCGTGTAAGATATTAACTTCAACTCACATTTATCAATGCCTTGGCTTAGAACATAGTATCTCCCTCTGATCACTGCTTTTTTCCACCAAAATCGGCGCCGGTAGATAGACGAATACTGCACTTTAGCTGAGCCATATGACACAAAGCTGAACAAAGAATTGCTGCTGCAAAACTTGTTGACCAAATGTCCTCGGCCGTTGATGAAGGAAATGGAGTAATCCCTATAAGAAAATGTTTACATTTTTCCAACGGTTTCAATTACTTCAAATTAATTGGCGTCTCGGACGCATGCCCAAAAAGTGGGTGCATCAATAATGAAAGTCTTTAATCATCAAAGGAACCTGTGCACATTACAGAGAAAAAAATCTTATTCATTTTATAGCAGCCTCACCCGCACGCGTACTCATGAACCGAGAGACAAACTGATCAATACTTCTCGCCACGCTTACCTGCAAGATTGAGATGAAGGTATTTTTAACTTATCAAATATCATCAGAATTAGTGCAGTCCTTGATGGTGGTTTAAATGCCCACGTGCAGTCAACGTTCCACCTTCGTGTAATTCCCGCATCAGGATTTGATATCTTACCATACGACTGAAGTTCAATATCCTCGCCACATCCTTAAATTTTTCACAAAAAATGCATGTCATAATTGTTCGTAGAAGAAGGAAAAATATATTGAGATTCAGGTACAATGCTTTACGCAATGAGCAGAGTATTATTTACAGCAAAACGGCTTTGCCCCGTAATGCGCATGAGCAGACTATTAGATCTAGCACAGCGGCTTTGCAACGTTACTGCGCACGAGCAGAGAATTCCTTATAGCAAAACGGCTTTACACCGTAATGCGCATGAGCAAACTATCATATACAGCACAGCGGCTTTGTAACGCTATTGCGCATGAGCAGACTATTATTTACAGCAAAACGGCTTTACGYCGTAATGTGCATGAGCATATTATTTTTTGTAGGCAATTATTTGCAGTTATCTCGGCCAATCAAAACGGCGGAAAAATGATTTGAATTAAAATCCTATTTGATTCATATCTAAAAAAATTTGAATAGAGGCTTTGCATCATCACATGATGGCAGCCATGACAGTAGGCATAACAATAGAGTCGTTCTCCCCTGGGATACTGAATTCTTTGTCGTTCAAATAAGGTTAGACCAGATTCAGTTGTTGCTGCATCCTGTAAGGCCTCTATAGACCAGTTGCAGCACGTCGGAATGCAGCTCAGTTTGGAGGACATAACAATTGCTCTCGGGACTCAGTGCAAGGGATCTATAGCTAAGCTAGACTGGCTGCGTCACTCACTTGTAACGAAGTGTACATATGACGATCGACCCGATCCCTTGGCGGTAAACCCAGAGACCTGCAGATAATATCTCATGGCAGGAAGGAGATTCTCGATCGTTATTTGGGTGTTGTTGGTGATAAGAACTGTTCTGAATTTTACATAATAGTCCTGGTAAAACACTCTGTATCCAAGAAGAACGCCGTGAGCGTGATGTGGTAATATTGGATTCCACTGGATGAGAACGTCACGAACACCCACAAGAGTGGCTGTTAAGTTCGAAGGCGATGTAACTGGCACTAAAACAAAAATATTGTGTTGTTTAAAAACATAGAACTGAAATCCTTGTTGAGATGATAACATTATAAGAGACTTGATTGATGCGAGATAAAGAATAAATGATGCAACAACCCACATCGTGTTTGCAATTGGACATCCCCTATTTATTTTATTCTACCAAGATGTCGTTTTGTGTCTGATTGTTACTGTTGGACCAACACATATTCTTTAACATAACAAATACTTACCTCCTTCTTTGGTTTTCACATTCACTGTTTCGGAACTTCTGTAAACCATCATCTGACTCTTGTCACTAACTTTAACAAGAGACACAAACACCTGTACTTGGTAATACGTGTGCCCTATGAGCTGGTTACATGAAGCAGACGTTGAGTTATTAGTGGCAACAGCATAAGACACATTCAACTTGATATAGTGATGTTCTGTTGTATTACACGACATCAAGTACCCTAGAACAAGGTACCCTTGAGCAGTGAATGGCGACCAAGTGGCTGTAATGGAATAGGGACTCTTGGTTCTAGCTTTGATCTTCCAGTTACTGGCGAGTGGAACTAGAAATGGATGGTAAATACAAAAATCGAATGTAGAAAGGAAGAATGAGGCGGTTATTAAAAATCAATTGCAGATGTGAAACTGTGTGGATGGAAAATTAAGGRCACGATTTCACCATGTTCACTTTGCAAAGTTAGGCTAGCACGTTTTGCATAATGCTTCCTTGGCAATCTTTTCGAAAGTCAAAAAGTCCCTTCCACGGTTCCCTGCGCCATCTTGAAAGTTAGCATCGAAGCTAGACGAACAGTGAACTTGCAATGTTAACACCTTAGACAAATCAGATTCACTATCAGATGTCTCTATCATTGCAAGCTCGCCGTTCGTATCGCTTCGATGCAAAGGCACGACTACCTTTCAAGATGGCGCAGAGAACTGTAAAGGGGATTATTCGACGTGTTTTTGTCATTCATTATTACTAAACTATGCGGGGAAACAAAATTGGACATGAAAGAGGATATAAGGCGTATCATTGAAAAGACAAGTAACTTAAATTTTATTTCCTACCTTGACTTGATGATTCGTTAAGCACAAAATACCACATTTTAAAACCTCTTTTACGGTTTTTACTCGTAAATGCAGAATAGTAGGTAACTCGTAAAGGATTCTTCTCGGAGAGGTAACTGAAAGAAGCCTTTCGTCTGTTTTTAACGAACAACAGCTGCTGTTTTTTGGCATCAGTAACTGTCAGGTTACTCAAGCTGTTAAATAAATGTGCAAAAATAAGAAAGGTTTGGGTGGACCTTTTTATAGATGTTACTGGAAAGGTTCCTTGGGTCCTTCAGTGTCTGTCTGTATGTCTGACTGTTCAACCGTTTTTAAGTCACTAAGCAAGCAAGCTCTCCAACTTGCCAGCCAACTTGCCAGCCTATTAAGTTCGAGTGTAGATTCGATATTTCTAAACTTCTTGATCCGTCAGTGACTACTTAAATGTGTCTTTATATATTACATTTGTCTTTCTAATCTATCAATATTCAGCATGATTTTTTTTTAAGACTTGACAAAAAAATAAATAACATGATTTTCTAGTGCTTACCCATGGTCATTGCGAATAAGATAGATATCTTCGAAATAAACAGCAATTTGTGCATTTGGTACAGAAGGATAAAACGTCCACTGGTAGTGTGCCTGTCGCATGTATCTTGGATACCCAGGGCTTGAAATCATCCCAAAAAGACTGGTTACATTCATTTTTTTTACTATTGATATAAATGGCATAATGTCAAAATAGTGAGACGAATATAAGGGTGTTCTGCCAGATATCAAGCAACATTCAATTTGAAACAAACAATACAATTGTTTTTTAAGGTGTTCTAAGAGTCTTGGCGCCTTTTTTTAAATCTAATTGAACCGTCCCTACTTTCTGGCATTTCTTAGGCACACCTCATGTTTAGTTTGATCACCATTTTGTCTAATTCAATAGCCTTGGTTTTAGGAGGGAAGTGATTCTTCACATAATGCGAAAAGGTTCTCGACTTTTTGCAAATCAAAATAAGCTAGCATGCTTGTTTAATGTTATGTAAATAACTGGATTATCGAACTCTTCTTCCCTTGATTATTCTATATATCTAAGCATGCAAAGCTAAGGATGTAACTAAAATAGACCTAATCCATCTAGGCATAACGTTCTCTTTCCAGATCGCGTTTCATTCTCTTGAGAATAAAATTCTTAGTCATAAGTTGTATCCATATTCATGTGCCTTCTAATGCGCAACCATTAAACAAAGAAATAATACTCTAGAAAATGGCACATGGCCTGAAATTTATTTATTTATTTATTTAAAGATTTACCTTAGTATACAAGGTATTAACACCCTAATCTAACCCCAAAATTAAAAATCAAAAAACTAAATCCTAGACCAACCCAAAGAAAAAACCCAATATATGCAAAACTCAAGGCGAAGCTAATAAAAAATTATAGAAAATAATATATTAGCAACTACAARAACGCATAACAATTACTTGGCGACATTTAGGACAAACAAGCTTGAAGGTGCGAATATTGTCGCCGTCAAAAACTAATTTGAGTCTCGAGTAGTAGAAATGGGAAAATATTAGGTCCTTTCGGCTAAAAACTGAATTATTCGCCTACCTGACGGATACCCACAGACGACACCAGCAACGTACGAAAACAATTTGCACCATTTGGGTGTGTTGCCCCATCCTCGATGTGGACAGTCTGTCAGGCTGCTTTCATTCCCTGTACAGTATAATCCTGTCAACCATGACTTTTGGTTCCTACTTCCAAACTGGCCAATCGTATTCCACAATGCATAAGTCGCTGGTGGCAAACCCATTGAACGACAAGCAACTTTAGCGTCATTTATGTCCCAGTATGATGAACATACAATACCCCAGACACCATTATAGTTAACTTCAATGTTTCCTTCGTTTGGCTCGCTTCCTCCAGAGAGACGCCAGATAACTAAACGAGGAAATAAGCATTTAAATTCAAACTGACTATCGGTAAGTAATTGATTTCAAAGTATTTTCTATTAAAAACTACAACTTTTGTAGAAGAGTAGGGGTTTGTATGCTGGCTAAACCAAGCGATAGGTAGTGGTAGTAAGGTAAAATTGTTTTTGTTGTTCATTGTTGGTGGTGGTTTTTCGTGGTGGTTTTTCGTGGTGGTTTTCGTGGTGGTTTTCGTGGTGGTTGTGGTGATGGGTGATTTTCATTCACAAATCGCTTACCATTTTTCGTTTTCAGCAATCTTGGACAGGTGTGCATACTGATATTGCCAACATTCCTTTTATCAAATGCAACAACCTGTATAGAATATGTCGTGTTTGGAGCAAGGAAGTTGATCGAGGAAGACAACAAAGCTGAACTATTCAAGACTGTAACATTACTATTAATTCTGCTCTTTGCAGAACTATATACTACTAAGTAACCAAAGGTGTTGCTTTGTCTTTGGGAGATAAGGGATGGCATCTTCCATGATAAACTGATATTACCCGATCCAACGCGGATGCTGATGTTCCAGTTCTGACAAGAATCTGTAATTCAAGACACTACCGTCAATCAAGCATTGTGACTATCACCATAACAATACTGCTTTCCCGGCCCAAAATATTCCGAATGCGATGTTAACTTTCTTGTATCTTTCTATCATCTTTTGATTTTACACTCATTTTTTACCATTAGCTAGGTATCCATTAAATTACAGAAAATTTCGCAACCATCACAGCCCAAGAAAAAAAGAAAAAGAAATAAGAGTTTAGAACTGTGCAAAGATGTACCTTTATCACGCGGCTGTCATGTTGACCGGAACAATGGATTCCGCCGCGTAGTCTCGCGTTCAAGCGCTTCAGGAAGGTTACGCATGTTAAACAAAGGTTTCTATTCTCTTGGGAATGTAAACACCGTGTGGTAATATTTTATATTTTATTTATTTAAATACCACTTTTATACCTGTGTCATCTAGACCGCTGATAACAAAGTATTGCATGCGAAAGCCTTGTCTTCTTCTTCTTAATGGATTTGTCGAAACCGATCTTTCGTAGCGAAATTTTCCCAGAGGATCCATCATCCACCCTGCATTACTCGTTATTTGCGCATTCATGGTATGAAAGACTGTGTTGTTTTTTGAGTCTAAAACTGTCATTTCGCTTTTCCCCCTAAAAGGCGAGAAAGATCATGATAATTATATGATAAGATATTTAAGATAATGATGATGAAGATTGTAGATGCTGATGATAGCCAAGAAGACTCTCTTAAAAAGTGCTTTCCAGAGAGCAAGGGTGGATCCAGTTGTGGGTGAATAGACCTCTTCGGCCTGGGGCAATGTTTTCCCATTTCAGACCACGTGTCATTCCCTTGTGAATAAGATTTTTTGTTTGAGCTGTATCCATATTCATGTGTCTTCTCATTCGCAACCGAGCGCAAACCTTAAACAAAGAAATGATACTCTAGGGAATAACACGTGGTTTGAAATGGGAAAACATTATATCAGAGCAGAAGAGGTGTATCTGATGACTAGTCATCCCCTTTGGACTTAAGAAGTAATAGGAACAAAGTTAAGGTAAGCTATGTGACGCATTTCCAGGCAACTACAGACAGCAACAGTAACCCCCCTTGAAATCGTTCTGGATATTCTGGCAAAAAATCATACTTATTTTCGTTTGTACGAATAATCAAAAGTCAAGAATCATAGTGGGAAATGTCTCATGAACTGYATTACCTTATAAGATTTCCCCTCCTTAGATCGATTTCTTGAAAATAGAGAACAACTCGAGCATTTGGTAGCTGCGGTCTGAAGGTCCATTCAAGGTTAGCTCGATGCATGGTGCCCGGGAAACCAGGACTTGTGATCACTCCAGTTAGGTTTGTGATGTTGAGCTTTACCACTATCAAGATAAAAAAAAAGGTGATAGAGATATGGCTCAGATTATTGTTAGGAAGATGACCTGGCAAAGATCAGTAATGGGTACTGAATGACAGGGCAGAAAAACGGTTTTTGGCCTTTCGCCATATGGACAGCTTTACGTGTTTAAGCTAAATTTGTTTGTAGACACGTTCTTTTGGAGCCAAATAGCAAAATATCAAATGCGACCAAAATTTATTGAATGCATATTTGAGATATATAAAGCCGTGTACTTTGGGAGAGGTGATATTTTGATCAGCAGAAAAACTGACATTTTCGTGAATACTAATAAGTAGATTTACCCTAATTCGACAAAATTTCGTCACAAGTTTCGAGCAGCAGTGACACAAATGAAACGTTTAAATAAAAAAATCGTGAAAGTAGCGGGCTTATCGTTTTTCTGCCCTGTCGTACTGAATGCATTATGCTGGTATAGAACTCTTGGCCGAACGGGCTACGTGTCAGATGGCGTACCATTTCCTGGTTATCATATTGTAAGCCGACACTCCAGTAAAAGAGAGATAGTGAGGGGGGGAGAGAGATGGGGTGAGATTGATGAATTCACTTTTATTTCAAAGAGTAAAGAGAGAAAGAGAGACACATATATCAGGAAGTTTACAGAATCGGATGATCGCGAAGGACTTACTCGAGGGAAGGCCGCATGCAACACTAGCATCTTCTCTGTGTCTACAATTATGTGATCCCAGTCCTGCATGCCGACACTGGAACAAAGACGATTCACTTCCACTGCAGCGCACATTATCCATCCAGATTGGTCCTGTTCCTTGACCAAAGGCTGCGTAATGTGGTGCAGCCACTGCTCTTGGAAGACCCAGTGAACGACAGACCACATTTGCATCGTTGAGATCCCAAAAGTCATCACAGACTGTTCCCCATCGGCCATTATGGTAAATTTCTAACCGACCTTCGCCTGGTGCCTTCCCGTCAACCAATCGAACGTTCGCTGTTAATATAAAGAAACTGCATAAGAAATTAAACTTTGAAATTAGTTAATGCACACAAAATTAAAAACCCCAAATGTTTCTATACAGGCTCATCAGCTACTCCTCAAACAGGGTGACACTATAATGCCAGGTTTAATTCGTAAAATATCTTCATCCCAAATTAATAATATCTGCATAAATCAGAAGACTTGTCCTTAATATGGACCCAATGTGTCCATACCTTTCTGTATCTCTGCTGATCTTGGGCAGCTGTAAGCTTTAGGTTTGAAGGTTACAGAGTCAAAGCCAATAACTTGTACCGAGTAAACAACCTTGGGTTTCAGATAGTCAAGGGTAATGGAGCTCGAGTTGATTACAATATTAAAATCCTTTCCGATACTTGTTGTGGAGTTATACAGAACCAAGTAAGTGTGGACGCCTGTTAATGGTGTCCAGGATACGTTGATTTGTCCAATCCCTGCTGTCACGATAACATTCCAGTTTGACTGACAGGGAACTAGAAAACATGATAATGCGTTACAGGAACATTAGGCTGCGTGACACAAATATTATAATGGACTACTTCGACGATACGGCGGCCATCTTGGATCACAAGGCATTATGGGGCGTCCAGGTGGAAATTAAAGCTTTGTTACAGTAATGACATCGATTGATATTAACARCTAACCACGAGAAAGTACAACAAGAGTTGAATTAAGCCGGCAAATYGATCACCTTTACCATAAAAGAACGACAAACACACGAAACTCTACATATTTTTCGTCATCTTTGTTTTGCTTTGCCCCTTGGCAAGATGGCCGCCGTATCGTCGAAGAAGTCCATTGCACACTTTCGAGAGTCACGCACAAAGGTTTCAATGTGAGGCCACATACTTTTTATTGGAAATGATCTGTCACTTGTATGCACAAGGAAATCTTACACCAATGATGCACGTGATCTGATCACTTTTGTATAAATTTGTAGCCCTCAAAGTTTATTGACTYTTTTTAATGCAATAACCTTACCTTCATGTTTGGCGTCATATACAATGTATCGCAAATGAAAGCCTTGTTTTCTATTGGCTAATCCACGCTTTGTTGTGAAATGTGAGAAGTATCGTACAGTTCCAGGGGTCTCTACTATCCAGATAGAAACCTGATCTCTAATCGTATTTCCAGCTGTCACAATGGAAGAGGAGTTTGAATCGCTGACGGTAATTCTACTGCTCCTGTTGAATTAAAGTAATGTACTTTTTTAGAATTTCCATTAGAGCGATTTTTGTGGTCGTACAGCCTCATTGAAGAACTATCAAACATTCTAATTCCTTACCCGTCTTTCCTCGTTAAGTCTATCTTTTCAAAGTAGAGAGCAACACTTGCTCCTGGTAATGGAGGTTTGAATGTCCACTCGTAGTTTGCTCTCCGCATGTACTGAGGATATCCAGGGCTTGTGATCACTCCAGACAGATCTGTGATGTTTATCTTGACCACTTTTGCGTAACAGGACGAAAGTACAAGAAATTTATGTATAAATGTATGAAATGCGAGATTTTATATCATAGAAATGCAAGACATCTATGGAGAGTTTTCCAAATTTATTACTATTGCTGCTGCCCTTGCAGCTACCACAAAGCTGGCGAGATTATAATTTTGTGTCAGGCGATTGTGGCGACAAATCAAGGCATTTTATTTGTAACATCTTCTTCCGCATGTTGGAAATTACAATTAACTATAAATGCGTTCTTTCCATTAATTTAACTCATTCTAATTAATACAAAAGCTTAATGTTCAGCGCATTAGATCATATATGTAATGTATTATGCCCTATAGAAGTATTAAGTTTATTATAAAATTGTTACTATTATTATTATTATTATTATTATTATCATCATCATCATTNACTATTATTATTATTATTATTATTATTATCATCATCATCATTGTTATCATCATTATCATTATTATTATTATTATTGTTATAAACATAATATATACTTATTTATTATATATATAACTAGAATTCCATACAATAAATCTCTATTATAAAAATCTCTATGATTTATATTTCACTGGTGAAAAATGCAATACGACCAATCAGCGTCGCATACAGCTTTTCACAGTGTAAAAAAATAACCAATCAAAACATAGAATTGACCAAACCAACCAGTCATAAAACGAGCAATTGTGACATTTGACTGGCTTCCTGCCAAAGCAAATTTGAGTTTTCTGTAGTTTTGTTGATGTGAACAAAATGGCGAGTCGTTTTGTGCCACTAGATGTGCCGGCAGATGAGTTTATTCAGAACCAAGAAAACAAAAACACACTAAGCAAGACGCGGAGAGACCTGGCTTTATTGACTGAATATCTCGAGACAAAAAATGTGCAGCAAAACCTGGAAGAAATCTAGCGAAGAGATTTAATACTATGAATCAAAGTCCAACTTTTCGTGAAGAAACGACAACTAAGCGCCGCCGTCGTTATTGCATCTTGGATTCGCCGGACAGCGACTAATGAAAAAACAATCAAGGTACATTTTTTAAAATTCATATTGACTATTTGTATATCCATTTTCATTCCTACCCTTTGCACCAAACGCTAATTGCTAGTATATACGACACTACAACATAATGGAGTGTGACTGTGCTGGGTGCCTGGTGGATAGCGTTATCCATTTTCCTTTTATAAACTGATGTGCGGAGTTTTTCCATTATGTATATTTGACATTGCATCTACTTAACTTATAAACTTAAAAATTATGAAAGTTTCGACAAAATTTGTCCTTTTTACTCACTCAAAATAAACGTGTTTGCATGTGAATTCTAGTCATATATATAATAAAGAGAAAACATCATAGAAAGTGCTTTGTACGGGGTTATATTCACTCGTTGTTTGGGTAAAACACTCACTCGCTCAAAGAATCGCTCGTTAGTGTGTTACACAAACAACTCGTGAATATAACCCCGTACGCCGCACTTTCTATGAAGTAATCTATATTTACTTACAAGGTAGCAGTCCGCATACAACACTAGCATCTTCTCCGTGATTACAATTATGTGATCCCAGTCCTCTATGCCGACACTGGAACAAAGATGATTCACTTCCACTGCAGCGCACATCATCCATCCAGATTGGCCCTGTTCCTTGACCAAAGGCTGCGTAATGTGGTGCAGCCACTGCTCTTGGAAGACCCAGAGAACGACAGACCACATTAGCATCGTTGAGATCCCATCTGTCATCACAGACTGTTCCCCATTGACCATTGTGGTAGAGTTCCACTCTACCTTCAGCGGGCGCTTCCCCACTGGCTAATCTTATTTTCTCTGTAGATATAAAAATAATTACACATTGACAAGCAATTTCGTTATTCTCGAACACCACACCAAAGTTTATTCTTGATCAATTATAATTATTATTATCATTGTCATCATCAATATCATCATCATCATCATTTTTATTATTATCGCTTGACAGAGCCTGGGTCTAGCTGCGCGATAGGATGCGCACTAACAATATCTATAACTAGTCTTACAGGTTGGTGTCATTATATTATTACTCACCCATTTTAAGCTTCGTTTTTGCATAGACTGAGACACTTCGATATATATTTGTTTGCCCATCAGCAAGACGTTTCACGTAAACAAAAACCTGCACCTTGTAACGCGTGTTTTTCACAAGATGATTACAGTAAGCACTTGTGGTTTTGTTGTTAACGAATTGAAGTGATTCGTTGATTAACCGTGTTTCTGTTGAATTACAGGAAACTACATATCCTATAATCAGGGACTCATTGAGCAAAGACCACGTGACTTTGATGTCGTCAGTGCTGACGCCTGTTGCCATAATGTTCCAATCTGGGTTTAACGGAGCTGTAGAATGTAGCAAAAAAAGGGATTGATGGTTTAGTCTTTCGAACATGCATGCAGTTGCATTTTCATTCAGCAGAGTTCATGTTTGTGGCACAATTGTGAGCGTGACGAAACGGCAGGCACTGCCGAAGTGCAACGCACTGAGATGATCATGTGGCACTTTGTCATTTTGCTTAATAAATATGTGTTATATTTCTTACCACGGATAATATTTTTGTTGACTTCAAAGAACGTCATATGAAACCCCCTTGAATCTTTACTCGTAAATGAAGAAAAGAACGAAACTTGTAATGAGTCTCGCTTCAAGAAGAAAGTGACATCACGAGCTATTCGGTTGTTTTGGACGAACAACAGTTGTTTTCCTCTGTCGCCTCTTACTGTTAGGCTACTAACACTGTCAAAACAAGACGAAATAAAATAAGGTTAATAAGACTTCACGGCCCTGATGACAGACGCTTAGTCCGAAATTTAGGTTTCAATAAATATGGTTGAGAAGAAATATATACTCTGACTCTACTGAGATCTACCACGAATGAAAACGAATCATGTCCCAATGGTTCCATTTCATTTGGGAGTTTCAAATTTATAGAGTAATTTGTGCTAATGAAATCATCAAAAAGAATCCCTAAATCTGATTGGTTGACCTTTAATTGGTTTTCTTTTAAGGACAACTCACTTGGACAACATCATGATTTAACATCGACATTCTTACCCGCCATGACTGCGAAATAATATGATGTCATCAAAGTAAATAGCAATTCTTGAATTTGGATCTGAGGATGTGAATGTCCAATTGTAGCGAGCCTGCGTCATGTATTGTGGGTAGCCAGGACTTGTGATCACTCCTGATTTGTTTGATACGTTAATCTGTGAAACTGGATACGTATACAAAACACAGTATATATCAAATTACTTTTAGGGAGAGAAAAAATGTTCGAATTGGTTCTGTTAAAAAAAACAGGGAATATTCTCCTCTTCTTCTCTTTATTCTTTTGTTTTGTTTCTCTCTTGTTGCATGTCTTCACTGTTTCAAATAAAGGTGAATCCATCTCTCTCTCTCTCCTTTCTTTTTTCCTTCCTTCATTCCTTTCATTTTCTTTCAGTTCTTTCTTTCTTTTCTTTGTCATAGAAAGGCGAGGATTTGACTTTGCTTCACAATTTTCGTTTTCTTGGATCGGAGCCAACAAAATACTTTGTTGAAACCAAATTCAATATTACCTTGAGGATGCCCACAGACGACACTTGCAACGCCGTAGAATGTACCGCACCATTTAGGCGTGTTTCCCAATCCACGATGATGACATTCCGAGATTCTACTCTCGTTTCCTCTGCACTGTAGAGCAGTAATCCAGGCTATTCCGTTATTATTTGTAAACTGACCCCTTCGTCGCAAGGCGTATGTTGCAGGAGGTAAACCGAGTGAACGGCAGACGACGTTGGCATCGTTGAAATTCCACGATATTGCACAGATCGTTCCCCAAGTGCCACGGTATTTTACTTGAACTAATCCTTCGTTATACACTTTTCCACCGTAAAGACGAATGTTAACTAAAAAAGAAATCATTCCTCTGAGATTCTTACGATTTCATCGTAGTGAAAAAAGGGCGAAAGTAAATCATTCTCAAGTCAAGGTAGCGACAACGTTAGGTAAGTTGCTTGAGATTGAGAAATTGCTTGAGAAATTGCAATTTTTAGAAGATCGTAAAAATGAAAGCCACTTAAGATTAGCAGAGTTTTCTCTTCGCGAGTAGAAGGAAACAGGACCAGTGCCAAACCAATGAGACCGACCAAAGGACCTGCCAACCGGCCAACCAAATCAGCTATCACAAACCCGGTTCCCTAACATCCAGCCGACCAGCCGAGCGCCCAAGCTACCAAGCAACCAGCCCGGAACACAAGCCGAACGCCGAAGCGTCAACAAAAAAGAGACAATACAACCGGCCAATACATCAAACGGAGTCAACAAGCTAATCAGACAAACCCCCGTCTGATCACCAACCTACTAACCTAACAATCAGCCAAGAATCAAGCAAAAGAAAGGCTAGTAAGAACTTTAAGTTATTAACAAGTTACTTACTTTTCGTCTTCACTTGTTTCGGACAGCTGTACACACCCGTATCAACATCCCTCGCTGAACCAAATGCAACTACTTGCACAGTGTACAGTATGTCGTGCGTAAGGTTTCCAATAAAAACACTTGTCGTAGAATTGGAAACTATTGTAAAATTATCATTTCTTGTTCTGTTATTAACTTTCCCGTATATTACCAAATAGCTGTGCTTTTCTTCACCAAGAGGAGCTGGCAAAGTGGTCCATGACACTTCGATACTTTCATAATCACCATGGACAGTAATGTTCCAGTCAGTACGACAAGATTCTAACGAGGAGAGTAAAAATATGACATTTATTTATCGAGGCACTGGAGAGGTTTTGAATGCAGCAAAAATGAATACACCTTCAAATGGTTTTCAAAATTAGAACATGCACTGATTGCAATGGCAGATCTAGAATTTTGAGTCCATGCATACGCGGGGGAGCTTTACTTGCATGGCAGAACAAGAGAAAGGGCTATTAATTTTTGGGGTTTCCAGCTTTTTAGACGAAACGATTTGACACATATTTGGGAAGTTCAAGACATAAATTCTCAATACGATTTTTTTCTAGATTTTCGCCAAAACTTTTGCAGAAACTGGGGGACGGAGTTCACCTGCAGACAGCCAATGTCCTTCCTCTTCCCCTGACTGAATATGGAGTATTAACTTCATTTTTTAACTGTTTATCTGCGCCATTGCTCCCTTTGAAATTTATATACACAAAAAAGCACTTACGTAATTCTTGAAACTTGCGAGAAATAAAGTATTTTATTCGCACGCCTTTTCTTTCGAACAAACTAGGTTTTGTTGAGAAAAGCGAATAAAAACGGACTGTTACAGGAACACTTTCAATCCAGGCAAGTGAGGACATTCTGTGGTTCTCAACATGTAATATTTGTGAGCCATTGGCATTCAGCATGGTAAGCTGGCTGTCTCTAAAAATGAAATTGTCATGTATTAATTTATTTTGCTCGCCGATAAAGCTCGGTCGACATGACAATGTTGACTGTGTTTTTCAGCGTTGCTCTTTCTCGCTTTTTCCTCCGTTTGCAATAAAAAATAATTTTCAGAAAATTCAAACCCAGTGGAGTAACAAGTTAAGTTAAAGAGCAGTGTAGTTTTAGTGATAATAACTTGTGAAACTGGGCTATTCATATTGTCTATATGAGGACTTGCGCATGCACTGATCGAGACCATTTTTATGAAAATAAACGTAGTGCCTTTACTAAAGAATTCACATACCCGCCTAAATTCCTCGTCAAGTCAATATTTTCAAAGTAGAGAGCAATACTTGCTCCTGGTAATGGAGGTCTGAATATCCACTCGTAGTTTGCTCTCTGCATGTACTGAGGATATCCAGGGCTTGTGATCACTCCAGACAGATCTGTGATGTTTATCTTGAACACTATTGGGAAGAGATAGTTCAAAGCTGTTTAAATTTTTTAAAGCTAATTAATATTAGTACAAGGATGATACTTGCAATGATACTCATATAAATATTTAACATAAACCTGTGGCAACCACACCCAACACCACTATCACCAGCATTTACATCACCACCATCATCATCATCACCAATATCATCACTTATCATCATTATGATGAACATCAATCACCATCATCACTCAGTACCATCATCATCAAGTCATCATCAAGTCATCATCATCACCGTCCACCGGTGAGTCCATCATCGCTATTACCATCATATCAACATTATCAGCAGTAAACAGAAGTTTGGTATAAGCAGTAGCCTCTTTTTAGTCTACATGTGCATGCTTACCTGGAGGATTTCCACACACAACACTCGCATCTTCTAGATGTCCACAGTTATGTGACCCCCATCCTCTATGCCGACACTCAAACAAAGATGATTCACTTCCACTGCAGTGTACATCATCCATCCAAATTGGTCCTGTTCCTTGACCAAAGGCTGCAGAAATCAAAGCACTTACAGCTCTTGGTAGACCCAGTGAACGACAGACCACATTTGCATCTCTGAGATCCCAATTGTCATCACAGACTGTTCCCCAACGGCCATTATACAGGATTTCAACTCTTCCTTCGCCAGGCGCCTTTCCTCCAGCTAACCGTTCTTTCACTACATATAAACGAACATTGCTTGATTTTGAAATATTAATCAAAAGACCGTGCTTGACAATATGCTTGGATACAGCGCTGTTTAAATTGTATGAGTGAACGATCGATACAAGAATTTTGTAGTCGTTATCATTACGCGTTGTGATTGGATAAATTACTTTGGCACGGGCTTGGCTATACTAAGGGGAAATGACCGACAAACAGCCAATCAGCGGGCTAGCTCGAGTAGGTATGATTATAATCCGGACTAGTATTCCGCATGTATAATGTTGGCTGCTATTTTTATATGTGAAAAGTGGAAAGGCGTGAAAAGAAGGCTCACTGACTCTAGCTGACCTTGAGTAATTTGCGAACAACCTAAATGCAATTTACCCTGGGGTCTAAAGGTTATTTATTTTCGCTCCGTCGTTTGCTCTCGCTCGTTACAACCACGGGAAACGACTATACAACTTCTGAAGCCCAGGATAAATGCAGTAGAGGTATCTGTTACAGAAATAATCGTTTAGGACTCACCAATTCTCAGCATGGTTCTCACAAATAATGGAACACTGCTATGAATCCTAGAGGTTCCGTCAGTAAGATGTGCCAGGTAAACGAAGACCTGCACTTTGTAGCGAACGCCTCTCGTAAGATGACTACAATATGTAGAGTCGCTGCTGTTGAGCTTGAAGCTGTACTGCATGTTGCGTGACCGTCCTTCTGTCGAGTTACACCGTACTATATAACCAACTATCTCGTAACCACTGACATTGACTGGTGACCATTTGACTAAGATAGTAGAAGTACTATCACTTATTGCACTCACGTTTAAGCTTCTCTGAACTGGAGCTGAAATTTAAATTAGATAAAATAACACTTATAATTCTACACTTCTTGAGAATAGCAGTTGAAGAGAGTTGTTCAAGTTATACGATGACGATCAAACAACCCAATGCTGGACGATATCCTTCTTACACCAATTTCTCCATTTCACATCAAGTTCGACCTCGACTTGAAGGTATTGTTTCATATTTCATGGTCGCTCGAGCGGCTTCGGAAAGGGAACTATTATTATCATGATCATCATTATTAGTAGTATCATTAGTATCATTAAGCCACGTTTACACTAGCGATTTTTGCGGCGACTTTTGCTGCGATTTTTTCGGCGATCCTGTCCATAATAAATAATGGTAAAAAATTTACTTTAAGTTTTATTCAGGATACCAAGATTTTCCTAGACGAATGTCTCTTTTGAAGGATGAGACAAAAGATTTCATATTTCCGAAAATTGCCACAAAAA